TCTTCCTTCTTTATTCTGGAAAAACAAATAGTTATTCCTTAGATAATTGCTTATGAGCTTTCAGACCCAGTACTACTCACCTCAGTAGATGTAGAACATTGTCTTTGGGGACTGTTAGGCCAGATGACCTTGTTGTACCCCTAGATTATGGTCCCATGGCCCAAGATCCAGAAGTTCATTCCCTCTGGGTGCCTGGTTATGATTAAAGAGTTTACATAACTTTGCCCCCTTCTCGGCCCTCCATGGATAGATTTGCAGTATATGGATAGATTGTACCAGTATAAAGGTAGAGACAGCACCTGCCACATCTGTGAATGTCCATGGATATAATATTTTTCACCTGTGGATTGAAGCTCAACATCAAGAAGACAAAAAATGTTACCACTGGGCCAGTTGGCAGCACCAGGATGGATGGAGAAGAGACTGAGGTTGTTAATAATTTCAACTTGCTTGGCTCCACAATCAGCATTATTAGCACCAGCAGTCAGGAAATCAAAAGACAAATTGTGCAGGGGAAGTCTGCTGTTAAAGACCTCTTCAAAGTGCTAAAGAGTAATGATGTCAGTCAAGGGGCTAAGGTGCTTCTGATCCAGGCCATGATCTTCACAGTTACTTGCTACACCATCACAGAGCTGGACAATGAGGATGACTGAAGAAGAATTGATGCCTTTGAGTTGTGGTGCTGGAGAAGAGTATTGAACATAACCATGGACCACCAAGAAAACAAATGGGTCTGTCTTAGAGATAGTGAAACCAAGTTTATCCTTAGAGGCAAGGATTTTGAAGCTCTGTCTCATAGACTTTGGGCACGTGGCCAGGAGAGATCAGTCCTGAGAGAAAGGCATACTTGGAAGGGTGGAGGGACAGTGCAGGAGAGGAAGACCCAGGATGAGATGGATTGACACAGTAACTGGGGTAAGTGTGTTGGAGTCAGTGAGATTGTCTCAGGATAGGGCAGTCTTCAGAGCTATTGTACATAGGGTCACTAGGAGTCACAGGTAACTTGGAGGCACGTAACAACAACAGCATACCTGTTGGTCTTCCTACCTATGTATCTTTTCTCACTGTCACTTAGCTGTGCTCCTTTCTGTCAGGTTGCTGATGTCTTTGTTCATCTACCTTTCTGAGTTAATTTTCCTTATGGCTTTTCATATTTCCATCATTGATATGGTTTTGTCATTTACGGAATCTTTATGATTTAACTCTTTTTATTTTATGAGGTTTATTCATTTTCTTTGAATTTACCCGGTAAGTTATTATTTAATTGTCTAGTCTAAAACATGGAAGACGCCTCCTTTTGCTCAACACTAACTAATGCTTAACTCCACAATAAGGGATTTATCTTTCACTGCTTCACAAATTGCTGTCTGTCAGATACTCCTCTAAAT